TGCTAATGAAATCAAAATTAACTTTTGTGTAGTACTCAGTGGTTGTCTGTTGATAGAATTCGGCGTGAAAAACGTTAACCCGTCAAAAATGTGTGAATTTCAAAATCAAATATTTGCGTCCTTGTCCCTTTCCTTGGCTTTCTCATTTCTACAGTGTTTCAGACTCTTGTTCCTTTACTACTGTCCTATTCATTTTGTTTATATACTGTATAGGATAACGTGTCTGCAAAACAACCTCTTTTACTGATTAGGTGCTCGGGGAAGCGTACGTGTGCCGTATAAAACGCTAGAAGGCACAGCAAAGGGCAATGGCAAAGATTATGAAGATGCAAGCGGCTACATCGAGTTTCAAAATGACCAAACTGAGTAAGTTATATAGTTATTCGAAACTAGGTTCGCTAAGGTAGAAATATATTAGAATCAGGCCCACAAAGCGCGTTAAAATGTTTTGTTAGGGAATTTTTATACTTTTGACCGTCCTGCCATATGGTTAAGCCATTCCGTTTTTGAATAAACACTGCGAATGCACTTGCTTACAAATAAAAGTAGGAAAAATTATTCACAAAATGCTCCAATAAGTCACCAGCCATTAATCACGTTGGCTTGCTGTAGTAAAATAATTTAATATGACAGCCACATGCCTTTTAGTACAAACTCTTTCCAAATTTATCAGAAGCATGAATATTGAATCAAATTAACCTGCTGAAATTCATCTCGGAGTCATTTTCAGTTATAAAACCATCAACACAGTGTTTAACACTTCCAAGATTCCTGCCTTTGGGTAATGTTGTATTTTAACCGATGTTAGACTATTCATTTCTGATCACTGAAGCATATTTTTGACTTTTCTTCAGAAAATATATTCTGTCGTCCCTTTTAAGACTACAACATTTTGATACAATTTTCCTGAAAGATATATATATATTTCACGAACTATAGAAACCTTGAAAAAACGAAGTGTGGCTTAAAACAATGAACCCCGAGAATGAGAAAATATAAAGTACGTTATTACGTTAATTGGAAGTCGGCAAATGTGATAGCTTATTCGGCTTTAATCTTCTTACTGTAAATTTCCTACCTCATGAACTGTCAGTCAAACCTCAAATACGTTTTTCGGTTCAAACAAATAATTTAAGTAGGATTTTAATAATAATTATCATGCAACTTAATCCTAAGATATTTCAGCCACATGAGGACACCTGCATTAGAACAGGCTTCCTTTTGATCGCCTACAAAATGTCTACTCTCTCAAATTGGCCATTAAAGTAGTACGCATTTCTCATTGATTTTCGATGTCCTTATGAATTCAAATATTGCTTATAGGTAACGTATTCAACAATATTTATTCTTACTCACTCGGTGGAAAAATATGTCTTTATTATTTTTTATACCCGCAGAAAGGCTATCTTGTGGTTTAAAAAGTTTCTAAGTATGAGGTTTTTTAAGACCGTGGAATGTTCATCCGTACTACATCGTATCCGTAAAGTTTAGTGTAGCCTGTGTGGTATGCAACAGGATAAACAGCAGCGGAGAAAATTTTGTGAGAACTATGCGATCTCTTCCCCATAGCGTCAAGGAATGTGCGATATTACCGTAGACGGAAAGTAGATAGCATCTACTTTGATAACCCTGAATATAAGTGTAATGACCGATAGGGTTCAAAATTATTCGGCCATTTAGAAAGTCTTTAAATTCGAAAAATGCACCTTCTTCAGGTTTAAAATTTGCAAAAGTAATTTGCCTTCAAATAAGTACAAAGGAAAATATTTATACACAATTTTCCTATGAGCTATATTCGAATTTACAAGGGCGTGGAACATCAATAAGAAAAATGCATACTACTTAAGTAGTAACTTTTGAAAAGTATACTTGGTGCAGGCGGTCAGAAAGAACATCATT